GCGTCACTGCGGCCGCCCCGCCCCCTTCCTGGGCCTGGCGGGCCCTCCCCACCCCTGCGGGGTCCCGGCAGCCCCGCCTGCGGCGGAGGAGGCGGCCCCTTCCTTCCTTCCCCACGGCAGTGAGCGAACAAGCAGTTCTCCAAATGCTGGTGCTCTCCACGCCTATGTGCCTTTTGGAATCCCCCAAACACGCTTGCTTTCCATTCCCACCTGGCCCGGCCTCCCGTGCGCTCGGGAATTGCGGCGGGGTCCTCTCTCCGCGCTCTCCCCACCCTCACACCTGAGGCCCAGGGGAAATGCACCCCCGCCCCGGAGTCTGGCCTGAAGCTGCTCTCGGGCTCGCCTCTGCTTAGGGGGTGGGACCCCAGCGCTGCGGGTCTCTAGGGTCATTCCGCCACACCCCCAGGCAGAGGCCTGCAGTCACTGGGAGGACTGGCCCCTCAAAGTGGCCCCATCTATGCCTTCCGGGTCCACAAGTCTGGCCCAGCCACCAGACCGTGGGCAAAGGCTGAGGCACCGGTGGGTTGGGCTTGTGGACCACACCCAGTCCCCTCAAGGCCCTGGGACAGTGGATGGCAGCACCCATGCCGGAAGCCAGTCCTCTGCCGGGGCTCTGCTTCGCAGGTGCTTCGGGGCGGGAAGCAGTGCTCTCTCCCCGCTCCGAGGAGTCAGAGTTGGGGTGCATTCAGGGCCTCTGAGGGCTGATTCAGCTTAAGCTGTTAGGGCAGGAAGGCAGGAAGGCGTGGGGTAAGTGAACTGGCATTTCCACCTTGCCAGGCATCACTGCTAATCCAGAGGTAGAACCCTCTGGCCCAGGCCGGTGACACTGCCCTCCAGCTGTGGGGGAGGCCACGGCCCTGCACTGCCCCCTGGCGGCACCGTGCGGAGCAAGGCCAGGCTCTCGGCTACGGAGCTCACCTCTTCCCACTGCTTAAAGCCGGGAAGGCTGAGGGCGGGCGGACGGGAGCCGGGTCCCTCCCAAGGTTAATGGACAGCACGGGGCAAGGCAGGGCCAGGCTGCGCTGGCCTCTCTCCCACCCACTGCACCACCCTGAGTCTTCTCTTTCCCACTTTCTTCCCAGCCACCAGGCTTAGCAGAAGTACCAGACTCAGAAAGGCTAAGAGCTGAGAGAACAACTCCAAATTATCTTTTATTTATACAAAAAAAGGGCATGTTTAGCAAAAGACACACTGAGAAAAGAGAGGCTATGGCCCAGGAGACAAGGCAGGGAGGTGACAGGCCTTCTGAAGGCCTGCTGGGGGAGAAGGGGTCTGGGACAAAGTGGTGAGAAGTCCCGGGTAAGTGCTGAGTCGTGGGGGCTACAGGAAGAAGAAAACTCCAGTTGCATCAACACTGACGGCAGCTCATGAGTGGGACTCACAGTGACCTCGCTGCTAAGTATTCCCGGGGTTCCAAGTTGGTGCTGCCAACGAGTGAGAGCCACCCCCTGGTTCCTGGAGAGTACCCACCAAGGGACACAGGACAGGAAGTGCAACTCGGGGTGAAGGCCAGGGAGAAGCAGGTGCCCTGCAGTGGCCAGGAAAGGTCCAGACTCGAGGCGGAGGTGCTTCCTCCACCCACCCCCTCCAGGAGACCCCTCCCTCCCTCCCCACCCGCTTTCCCTTCAGTTAGAGGGACCATAATCTAAAGGCTAGGTGAGATTTGGCTAATCCTCCAATGTATCCTGTTGAAATACAAATTCCCTGGTCCCTCCCTGGAAACCAACTAATTTTCAATTCAGTTCAATACACCTATGGATAGTGACCCTGCCCCTAGTCTAGGCTGGGCTCAGGTGGCCTCCAGAGGTCGGTCGTCCTGGGGGTGGGAGCCCGGCCCCACTCACCTCTCTTCAGGCGCTCCATGGCGCTCTTGCTGCCGGCATAGGTGGGCCGGATCTCTTTGCCCATCTCCTCTATGACCGACAACAAGTCCGTGTAGGTGCTCTGGGAGCCCTGGGCGCCGGGTGGCTTCATTGCCTATGTCAAAAGAGAACAGGGTAGTGAGCTCAGGCCCTGGGGCAGATTGCCAGTCCCCAACCACAGGCAAGCTCTCGGCCCCACTCACCTGCACATAGCCCATGGAGGGCGGTCCAAAGTCGTTAAACAGTGGTCTGAAAGGGGCAGCAGCTCCAGGCACCGAGCCCGATGGCGAGGGGACACTTCCGGCTGAAACAATGTGCGAGTTAAGGAGGTCAGAGCGGGACAGGGACTTCTCTTCCTAGCGTTCCAAGCCCCCTACCGGCCCGATTCCTTCCAAAGGGATGCTCATTCCAGGATGCTCAACTTCAGGGACAAACCCCTCCCCCTGCATCCCACCAGACCCTTACGCGACCACGCCCACTTCCCAGGCAAACAAACTGAGGCTCTGGGAGTGTCGGTGACAGGCCCAGAACTGCTCAACTCAGGTCCGCCTTCTTTTCGAGACCTCGACCGCCCGGGCAGACGAACAAGGATGGAGCTGGATCCTCACCTGTAGGGACTGGGGTGCCGGGCCCAGGGGTGCTGGAGCCCGGGGTGCTGCTGGGGGCGGGGGCGATGGGTTTGTAGGATAGCCCCAACTCTTGGGTGCGGCGGCCGGCTGCCGGCCGCTCCTCCGGGGTTGGCTGCCTGGCCACTCAGCTGCGCTCTGATTGGCAGGCGGGCTGCACGCCCCTAGTAAATAGAGCTCTGGCCGGAAGGGCAGACAGGCACAAACGCTCTCTCACTCCCGATTGGTGTGCAAAGATGTCACTCGGACCTCCTCATTGGCCGAGACCGGCCCCAATAGGCCGCAACCGCTGCCGATTGGTCGCTGCCTTCCGGACCTCGCACCTGTCTGCTTCGGATTGGGCGGTGCCCGTCGCCCTCTGCAATTGGAGAGTTCGCGGCTCGGCACCGCGCGCTCTCAAACCGATTAGTCCCAAGACTCGAGAGGCGGGGCCTCGGAGCCGGGACGGGAGTCCAGTCGCCGGCGGTTCCCCCTGAGGGGTCTTCAAAGGTGCGGGCACGGCCTCCGCGCCTCACTCGCGTTGCTTCGCACGTCCGCTCCGCGCCGCTCGGCCTCGGTTTAGCTGGGGTTGCTGTAGCCTCGGTCCATGTGGGCTGCTGCTACCGCCGCCAAGGAGCGCGCCTTTCTCCGCCCGGGACGCCGGAGGACGCAGGGCTTTGACGTTCCGAGCCCTGCGTCTCACCCCGTGCGCTTTTACGTCACCTTTCGCCGGTTCAACAACCTGTTCCCGATCTGCGCACGCGCCCTCCGAAAGCATTCGTTTGTTTCTATGGAAACGGGTCCCTCACCCAAACCACCGGCGCACCTATTCCTCCGAATTGCCTTGTTCTCGGGTCTAGGCTAGTGTTGGATCCAAGGGCGACTCACAGACCCTTCAACCTGCTCCTCCAAGGCCCCCACGTAATGACAGTAGTAGGAACAGCTGGCCTTTGTTCAGTACTGACTGCATGCCAGGCCCTGTACCCAAAGAGAGGATGGACTGGAGCCAGGATGACAGTGCGAAGCGCACATCACCCCCACGAGCGATTTTCTTCTCTTGGGCAAGTTGCTTACCTCCATATGCCTCAGTTTCTCCGTCTAGGAACGTGGAGACGCTAATCACTATCGCACAGGGTTGTCGTGTGGATTAAATAATTATTTATAAAGTGTTTATTGTTTTCTTCTCTTTTCTGTCCCACTCCAGTGCCTCCAAATCCTTCCATTTTTTCCACCCAGAACCTTCCCCTCAAATCTCATTTCTCGCTACCCTAGATCTTACACTCTCCCCAAACACTAACCCTTTCTCCCAGGTTGCTTCTCCCTGCAAACTGTCTTTGTGTGCCCTCCATGCCTCCAAGTCTATAGTTTTTCTCATCCCCAGGACATTCATTCACTCATCCAACAAACGTTTTCTTTCTTCTTTTTTTTTTTAAATAATTATTTGTCAATGGTTCAGTACCACAATAGATACTGTTTTTCTTTTTTAAAAATATTTTTATTTATTTCAGAGAGAGGGAGAGAGATAGAAACATCAATGATGAGAAAGACTTATTGATTGGCTACCTGCTGCATGTCCCCTACTGGGGATCGAGCCCACAACCTGGGCATGTGCCCTTGACCTGGAATTGAACCCGGGACCCTTCAGTCCCCAGGCTGATGCTCTATCCACTGAGCCAAACCAGCTAGGGCATCCAACATTTTCTGACTCTGTCCTATATCCCAAGCCTTTGCTAGACATTGATATGGAAATGAATGGCCATGGCCTCTGTCCTCAAGGAGCTCCTATTCTCAAGGAAGACACAGGCAAAGGCACACAGTGCAGTAAGACAGTGTGGAGGCTGGGACAGGGAGCATCGTGTTTAGCTTAATAGAGATACAGTTGGTGACATGTAGCAACATTTATAAATGTATATATATACACAGATTACTGTGTACACATATCTCCTCACACTATATCAGCTGAGAGGGCCTAGAAGCAATCTAGTGTCCAGCTCTTGGTTTCTAACACCATTCTCCAATAAAATGAACCAGAGTTCCTTGCAGAAATGGCTGATTCAAGGACTAGGGCAGGAAATATACAACCTGATCCCAGGGCATTTTGTAGTGCAGAAAGTAATAAAATGCTGAAAACAAAAAACCCCTAAGGAGAGTTAACTTGGGGTGGTGAACACACAGTACAGAGGGTGTATTATAGAATTGTCACCTGAAGCCTACATAATTTTATTGACCAATGTCATCTCAATAAATTCAATTAAAATATCAAAGAAAAAAACAATAAATCAGTAGAGAGAAAAAGCAAACCTACAATGATTGGGGTATGTGAAAGGGAGACAGGAAGGAGCACACTGAAAGAGCTTCCAATAGCCCAAACTGGGACCGTTTGAACAATAGAATAAATGAAATAGTATTGGATTATAACTTAAAGTACAGAATAAATGCCTATGAGTCCATATGGATGCAAACACATGATTGACTGAATCAGCAAATAAATGAGTAAGTGGGGGAGAAGAGACCAATCTTGCATACAGAAGAATCCCAATGCCAAATAATTTATGTCGATACTCTGCTCTTAAACGTGGGCTATGCATAGTGATTTCCTTCCGAAGAATATAGTATGCAAAGAGATAAAAAAGAGTAATTCTATAGTATAGAGATCTGATAAACACTGCCTCTAGCCAGCTGATCAAGGTCAACATCAATAGTGACGTCATGTTGGTAGTACGCACCGTTGGTATGAAAGATGAGAGCGGCACCTTGCCCCTGTGCTCTTCCTCCCCCAAACCCATAACTACGATGAACCATGAAGGAAACAGACAAATTTCAGTTCAGAGACATTATATAAAATACATAAAATACCTGACCAGGTCCTCCTCAACACTGTCAAGAGCATAAAATATAAAAAACAAAGTCTGAGGAAGCATCAACCAAGAGGGGCCTAAGGAGACATGGTGTCTAATGGAACATGGTCCTCGATGCTGTGGAACCGAAAAAGGGCCATCTGGAAAAAACAGATGAAATATGCATAAAATGTGGGCTTCAGTCAATAGTAATGTATCAGTATACGTTCATCAGCTGTGACAAATGTGCCCTCCTAATGTACAATGTGAATAATGGTGTGGTGGTTAATTTTATGTGTCAACTTGACTGGATCCTGGGGTTCCCAGGCCTGTGGTCAATCGTGATTCTGGGGGGGTGAGAGGGCCCGTGTGAGAACTGGTGGGGCTGTGAACATTTCCGGTGCAAGCATATACACTGCAGATAATTAAATCCATCCCAGCAACTCGCTCAAACCACCAACCACAGAACCTCCCTGGCTCGGGGGCCACCGGGTGGTGGGAGGCTAACCCTGAGGGGGGTTCCAGTCTTCCCCTGGCATGTACCCTCCAACCCCTGCGAAGAGGACAGACATCTCAGGAAGCAATGCTGTGTGTGCCAACTGGTGGAGGGTGTCAGAAGGAGGACGGGCCATGGCTCCCAGTGAAGCCGATGGCCTGCGGCAAGTCCTCCCCCCCGCAGGCCTGCCAGACTGGCTGGCAGGAGAGATCACCTAATTGGGGATTAAGGATTAATTGGGATCTTCCAGGAGAGTGATGTTGAGCTGCTGCAGCCAGGCCTGGCACCTCGACATGCAGGCTCTGGGCTGGGCAGGGCACGGTGGCTGCCCACCTGCTCGGCCCCAGGGCCATCGCGCTGGCCGCAGTGACGATGATGACCAGGTGCGGGGCTGATGGTCAGCCGAGCTCTGCAGACCAGGTCTTTGCTATAGCTGGAGGCCTGTCCTGGGTCCACCCTGACCCTCAGGCATCCTCTCTTGTTGGCACTGAGATGTTAGAGTCTCCAGGCCTGAGTGCAAGCCCCACCTCCCCTTCATCCTCACTGTATGGGACGATGCCAGTCCCTTGTCCTCGCGGAGGCTTCGGGTGCCAGGCACAGGGGTGGGTTCATCTGAGGATCATGAGGGATCCTGGCCAGTACCTGAACAGGAGTGTCACAAAATGCAAGCGATACTTTAGGGAGAATAATCCGGCAGCGTGCACTCATGGCCCAGGGGGACAGATGTCAGTGGCGCTGTGTGACCTCTAGAAAGTCACTTAGACTGGGCCTCTGGGTTTCCTCAATCTGGAAAACAGGGCATGAAGACGAGGGGAGGGTTGGGGTGAGCAGACGTGTCATTCGGGTCCCCCAGGAAGCAGACAGTGAGATGAAGTTAGGAACGCAAGGCAGAGAAAGGCAAGAAAGCAAGGTGGCAGGAGGCCTCGGCTATGAGGCCAGCCTGGCCATGCCTCAGCGAATGTAAGGGGAGCTTGCAGCGGAGACCGCCCCGGAGAGGAACCTCGAGTCGGGCAGAAATGTGTGTGTTCTGGCGCCTGCCACGCTGGGCCAGTGGCTGGGGGCTCCGGAAAGAGCTGTCTTCTGAAGGGACCCACAGCCAGAGCCCATCAGCGTCGTCTCTTCCTGGCCGAGAAGTAAAGCTGGGAAACTCAAGTTCCCTCTCGAAGGGCTCTGAGCAGCACCCCTCCCAGAGAGAATGAGATCCATCTTGGGAAAAGCCCTCACACTTTTGCTCCACCCTCTAGAGCAGTGATGGCGAACCTTTTGAGCTCGGCGTGTCAGCATTTTGAAAAACCCTAACTTAATTCTGGTGCCGTGTCACATATAGACATTTTTTGATATTGGCAACCATAGTAAAACAAAGACTTATATTTTTGATATTTATTTTATATATTTAAATGCCGCCCTAACTGGTTTGGCTCAGCGGATAAAGCGTTGGCCTGCGGACTGAAGGAGCCCAGGTTCGATTCCGGTCAAGGGGATGTACCTGGGTTGCAGCACATCCCCGGTGGGGGATGTGCAGGAGGCAGCTGATTGATGTTTCTCTCTCATCCATGTTTCT